CAATGCACAAAGCTGAAGAATTTTAAGAGAAACACTTGGATTCGGAATCAATGGGAACCTTCTAGAACAAACATGGCAAAAGGAATTTTATAGAATTGGAACGCAGGTATTAGGGAAGAATAATTTTCTGTCATGTGATGTGGGTGCAGTTTTTGGATGTGATGGATATATAGATTTTTTATGTAGATGGGATGGATTGGGCGATAGAATTCTTAAGATGGTAAGCATATGGCTGAACACAGTAATAGATTTGAACCTACTGGTGAATATAAAGAAATTGCCAAGTATGCAAAAAGCGTAGCTATAATTGATATTCGAAGTGAATCAAAAAAGGTTCGAAATCTGCAGAAGGATTTCATATGTGTCATTTTCTGAAAATTATAATACATTTAAAATAGAGTTTGGGCGAAGACACAGTGATTATCGGGTTTCAAGATTAGATGTATATTTTAAATAAAGCCTTATATGATTATTTTTAAATTGAGAACATATACTACAGCTATATACTGTAATCTATAATGGAGTAGCAAGTCAAAAGGGAGGAATTTCTCGAACCCTAACCCATAAAATGGGTGTTTTTTCCCGCTACTCCGTATTAATAGCTAAGTTAAAACTTATTTTTACTATCTATCCAAGCACCTATTTTATTTAAAGTACTACCATCTCTAAAATCACCATTATTTTTATAATAAAAATTTTTTATAGTTTTTTTTACTAATCTTTCTTTTCCCAAGACTATGAATCTCAAAAGATACTGTGTTATACATATTATCTAAAGAATAATTATTTTCTATTATAATTCTATCAAAAATAGTTTTAAACTGATTTTGGGCTGTTGAGGTAATATCAGAAAATGATAATTGGTTTGACTAGTGTTCCGAGGTTCGGTTCGGGTCGAACCAGGTTCGGCCGAACCTGAACCTAAACCCGAATTCGAACTAAGAATTTTGCAGATCTCGAACCTGAATCTGAACTTGAACACAAAGTTGCCGAACCTGAACCAGATTCGAACATGACCATTGGTTCAGTTCAAAGTTCATACTGTAAACAAGTTCAGGTTCGAGCCCTCTACAATACTTCTTTGACATTCTCCTTTCCCGACACTTCCTTCTT